AAGACTGCTCCACCTCTAGCGAGCGGACCATTCTGAAACCAATACCTTTTGATTATGCTTCAGTATCAACACAATGTCAAAAAGGTTCTACACTGACCGGATATGGCTACCTCCGGCAAGCGATTCCCAACAAGTTCCCGCATGGGAGGGCAAACCAAAAGTCCATCGAAGCACTGAGCGCCTAGCGTTAGACATTGATCTGATTCTCTTCGTCTTGTGTCGCTCGACGTACACCCAGCTTGTTCGACTGGGTTCAGAAAGTCAGCCTGAGTACACATTTTCGACCTGAGTCATTTACTGAATCCGTTCCCATCCCCTACCGCATTTCTTGACCAGTCAGAATGACACGTTGATACCGTAAAAATCATGCTCACCCAGATTCGCTTGCTGCTTCTTTCCCATGTGTAGGCCGAGACACTGTCGACCGTAAAAGATGGATGACAGCCAATCCTCCAGGCCATGCTTGTCTTTGATGACGCTCTGATCAGATAAAGCTGATATCTGCGGCAGAGCGCATCTTGGGTTCAGGAAATGTCACGCCACCGTGGCATGACTGAAACGCACCACCACATTCAGAGGTTCGCCGAGATCGGGATATAGATCGTCGAAGAACGCGCGCCACTGACCATGAGCGAGCCTCGGGTCCACGAAATCGAGGGCTAACATGTGGTTAACAGGCCAAAAGTCATTGGCAAGTGCGGTGATCGCCCGATTCCTCCGCGGACGTAAATTCAGGAGCTTTTGGCAGGAACGGCGAAGGTGCAACGGGCCAGCACCTATCCGGAACAAGGCTCCTAGATTTCTTGGCAGAGTCATTGTGTCGCTCAGTTTGGTGATTCTTCAAAGTTGTCGGCTTCCGCGAAGTGGATGACTGCCGCCCAAGCTTCTCCGGTGTCGCTCGCTTCCTGGCGGCAAAGTCCTGCTTGGCCTTCGGATCCACCCTGTTGACCGGCTAGCAAGAAGAGAAGTGCAAATGCTGCAAACAAGAACGTTGTGGCGTATGACGCGTTCGAGAAAATCGTCAAAGTCAAGGGTTTGCGGAGAAATACGCTACCAGCACCTCGACGTCAACCAAACGTCTTTCACTTCGGTCATTCTTCGTCTCGTCCTCGACTGACCTTCTGAGGTATATTGAATTCATCGGTTGCCTCAATCAGCCCGAAAAAGAAAAGACATACGCATTGCGGTGTTGATGCGAGCCCGCCGTTTCCAGGGAGTCTCAACGGCGCGAGCGTAAAGCACGCTGTTTTCTGTGGTCTGTATGCGTTGAGCGCCATGTCGGCAGTCAGGACGCATTTAACTTGATTGAAGACGGGCCTGCTCGCGAATTCTCTCTTGGCATTCTCATCGCACAGCCAGGAAACCCCACGGCTCGCCACTTGTTCATCCTACGCAGACGATCGCGGTGCCGTGCTGTACTAGACTCAGCAGCTCAACTAGTTATACTCAACTGCCAACTGGCATTAGAAGATCCCATGCAAGACTAGTCGTGAGCAGTGCAACGGGCTGACCATATCTTTGGCGGGATCGCAATCGTCAAATGCACACGGCAACGAATCAGCTGGCTGTCAAGATCAAATCGACTAGACGCGATGACTGATGAGCACAGATATTGACGCTGTTCAAGTAAGAGCCACGAGCGGACCCGCGGGGCATGGTTGCATACAAGTTCGACTCCTCGGTCCAGATGTGCTCTCTTTCAATGGTCAAATTGAGCTCGGCGTTCCCAGCTGACGAAAGCTTGTAATATCAAACCTAGTCTTTCCAGGCTTTGAATCTCAATCGCGTGTACATGACTGCCCAGCCTTCTTCGCTCTTCATGTCGACCTCGAGCTTGTCGCAGACCTCCCGGATGATCCGCTTGCCTTCATCTGCCGAAAAAGGTTTCAAAAATGCAAATGCAAACGTCTCAAGCCATCCCGAGAGGCCGGTTGGCAGTGGTGTGTAGCGCGGCACGAGCTCTGTTCGGCCAACTCGTCAGTGTCGATGAAGTTACTGTCCGGATTGCACTGACCGCAGCTCTCTACCCTGAAACCCGCCTTTTCGAGAACTCGAGTGTGCGCAGCCGGTGTTGGCCAATAGAATGGATCAAGTGACGCGGGATCCTGGCCTCGTTTCGCCACTGCATCGTATAAAGCAGCTCTGACGCCAGCGACGTTCATGAAACCGCCCATCTCTGCAACAAACCGTCCTCCGTGCTTGAGCACCTTGTGCGCGCCGTCTGCGACTGCTTGAGGGTCCCGCGACATCCAGTGCAGAGCGGCATTCGAAAAGACGGCATCAAATTTGGCATCGCTATCGGGCAGCGTGCCAAGGTCATGACCATCGCGTAGAACAAGCTCTACGTTGCCGTCTCCGCTCAAAAGCTCCTTGGCTTTCGCAAGAAGGTCGGCTGACGAGTCGACGCCGACAATTAGACCATGCGGGACGAGTTGGAGCAAGTCCCTCGTCAATTCACCCGAACCACAGCCGAGGTCACAGATATAATCCTATGATGTCTGTCAGCACACGCTGCAACACGAGCGCGCGCGCTCAGTCCAACAGACCTCTGACTGCGGGGCGAGCAAATCGACGACAGCCTTTGTGTATGCTTGCGAGAATACAAAGGACGCATTCGTGCTGTATCGAGCCGCAGACCAATTGTCGGCCGGAAGCACTGGTCAAGTCACGTGAGCAACGCAGCCGCACCTGCCAGTCATGCTACGTACTCTGCACCCGGGTTCCCGTGACTGAAAGTAAGGTGCGACGCGCGTATGGCAAGAGGGAGAGCGAGTGGTAGTGAATGCCAAGCGGCGCGATCAGGGCTTGCCGTTCCTATGTCCGTCGCCGGAACCGAATCGGCTCTTTAGGGGAATTAATGGTTATGACAACACGTACTATTACAACAGACAGCTTTACTTAACAACATCACTCGACAACAGACGCATCCCGCGCTACTTTTGTGGCCTCTTCCGCTGCATTGCTCAATTTCGGGACAGTCTGCAATTGCGCACTCAAGTCAGTCATTGCGCGGTTGTGCAATCAAATTGCCTTGCCTTGAGGAGCTTGTCGATTATCACTTTGCTCTGCTCGAAGTCTTGCTGCGCTTGAAGTGCGGTTGGACCGTTTTCGCCTGATAAGAGTGATTGAGTGCGGTTCTTGTCAATGATCAACGACATGCGCACCTTTCGGAGCGCCAACGCTCTTGCGCGTTTTGGTCGACGGCTTGGGTTCGATGAAATGCAGTGACGCTCTCTGCATCGCTGCGAGCCTCTGGGTGTCGGTGTCAATGATTTCTCCGACGGCCTGCGGAGATCCTCGTCAGCCAAAGCCTTGCCATGCGTTGTCACCCCTGACCTGTGCTGCCATGGCTGGCTCTTCTCGTCGCTTGCGAATGTTGACCTCGCGGTCGTCAAACAGCTGATTCTGGTTGATGAGCACGCGCTTATGCAGCTCTTCCGAGAAGGGCTGCGTCTCAGAGTCATCTGCATACTGACGGTTTTTAGGTTGTGTTTTGACGCGTTCTGAGGGGTACGCACCGGCCGAAGGATGCTCGCGCTTGTACTGCTCGTATGGCATACCTGCAATCGAGCAGTTTGACAATACTGCCAGTTGCACATGATCGAAAAATTGCTAGAGACGGTATCAACGTGTCAGGATCGTGTGACACTCGTGTTGAATGACGACGCGCTTGCGCGCGCGTGGCCGGCCGACTGACATTGAGGACGATGTCTTTAACCCTGGCCTTGTCCGTGTCCCGAGCCTTCTGTTTCCCTTTTGCCTTGCTGCTAGTTGGTGCGCTGCATTGCTTGTCGACGCGGTCCTCGAGCTCTTGCCTGAGCCGCGCCAGCACGTCTAGCAGTTCCTGCTCATTGTCGTACGCCAGAGGGGGAATGTCTTCTGCCGATACATCGTCTGGACTTGCGAGGCGCGGGGCCATGTGAGTTCGCGTGGAGATGGCGGAGCAGACTGCGAAGCGGCCTGTGAGTGCGCCGTTTGTTGCACTCCCACAACCCACTCGCCTCGGCCCGCGTCTCGTCAACGCATCGCAAACACATCCCGGGCCAAAGAAGATAGTCCTCTTACTCTTGAGCGGCCAGACGTTCCCGTCTTGGCGCCTGTGAACGCGTTCAGGCCGCGTCGGATAGTCGCTCGCCGCCGCTAGCCAGGCAAGGGCACGCTCATATTCATAGTCTGCGAGGTAACCGCCGCAGCAGGTGGACGTCAAGCTCGGCTTGCTTCGCTAGCTCATAGTATAGTACGGCCCCTCTTGCCTGTGCAAGCATGTATCAATCGCCTTGATCCGCCTCCGACGGCCTTGCTGCCATCTCGACTGTTGGGAGTTTCGCGCAAAACATTGCTGCCTGCAGCGAGCGACATTTCTGTGCTGTACTTTCAGCCTATCCGGCTGAATAAGACGGCCCTCTGACAATAGCCTGTGCAGTCCGACAATGCGGTTCAGGACAAAAGAAGCGAATCTGGCCGTGCCTACCGTTGCCTTTGTACATCAGCTCTGGTCACCAGCGGGGTCAAAGCAAACAAAACATACACCTCTCTTGGTCGCTTGGTCCTGAACAGGACAAACCGAAGACGAACGGAATGAATCATTACGGACGAGGAAGAGTTCTAAGCCTGTAAGCCCTGGCTTCAACACAATGTGGGACTTCAACAGGCGGTGAGATTTATCGCATGTCGTATATCCACTAAGATGAAGAGCCCCTTGTTTCTCGGTATAGTGGGTGTTTTTGATCGGCGCCGGTAGATTCGTGATTGAGTCAGACCATTGAAAATGGCTTCAGACGTGAGTTGGCTTGAATGTTTTTTATTTCTAGACAGAATATCTATTGCAAGTGATCAATCGGTCATCTGCAGGACAGAACGGTCTGCGGCGATGTGCGTGCCACCGCGGAGACAGTGCCGGGCCAGCTAGTATGCTCCGACGGCGAAGACATTTACCAAAGTTCGCGGACGCGAAAATTGCTTTGTGCTTTATATATTACACACGCCTTGCGTGTGATGTGGGACAGATGGCCGAGCGGTTAAGGCGCTGTGTTCAGGTCTTTAGTGTCCACTTTTGACATTCGCAGTCTCGCAAGAGGCGTGGGTTCGAATCCCACTCTGTTCAGATTCCTTTTTTGGCCCTCTTGCGCTGCTTGTGCCATGCACACCCATCTCACCATTTTACCGTTACACTTGAACGGGCTGAGCGATTTGTCTCTTTTTGCTGTTCGGCACTTTTCTGTTGCCAGCTACAGACATTGGGTGCAATGAGCGACTCGATAAAGAAAGCCTGGCGTGCGACAAGTGGCAAGTGAGGCCATATTTGGCCTGAAGCTGTGGGTCAGCAGCATGGACGAGCGTTTCGTCACACGCAAAGTGGTCATGGTTGGACTCGGAATGAGTCAGACGGGCAGCAACCGAGCGACAGAGACGGAGATGCAAGTTTGGCGCACTCGAGTAAGTTGATGAAAGCAAAATCATTGACGACGCCCGCACTGACGCGAAGCATGGATAGGCATCTGAGGCCTCCGACCGGCTTGGGCAAATTCACGAGCAAACCAGCGGTCTCGTGGCCACCTCTTTCGTAAGCCAATCTTCGAATCCGCACGCACAGTTTACTGTCAGACAACCTAATACACATCTATGAATTCCTTTGTTGACCAGCTCTTTGGCCTATATAGTACTGAGCAATCCAGCTTTCAGCTTGGATTTTGTGCCTTTTTGGCCATTTAGTGTACTTGGTTAAAGCTCAGGAGCCAGGTTCATTACATCTACTGACCGCTCTTGCCCTGACACAGGAAAGGCAAACATCCAACACGCTTGACAAGATCCTGTCAGAGGCGGGTCTTCTCAAGATTTGCACCATCTCACACGACCGTGAGCTTCTCATGGCTCTGCCCTTGTGGGTGGGCCTAGGAGTGGGCAAGCTCACGCTCGACCCGGCCCACGATCTCCTCCGAGATATGTGGAGCAATAAGCAAGCCGATAAAGTCGGTCAAATGGTCCTCAACGTCTTCTGGAGCGCCGACTGCATCATGGCCCGCAAGACATTCGATTGCGCGACCGTAGCCTTTGCCACGGTCACTTCCGACGGCAAGAGTTACGGCGCCTGGACCAACTGCCCCATTCTACCGCCAGAGGTCATGATCTCGGAATTGGTCACACAGCGCGCAGCGGCATTACACAGAGTAGGCGGGACGTCTTTGTTTACAAAGAAAGGTGCACTCGTCGAAGCGCCCGCCCATTCGCGCCGCGAGAAGACACTGCTCGACGACAGAGAATCTTGAAGGGTTTTCTTCATAGCGCTCAAAATGGACTAGCGTGTCCGTGAATATCATATGCCATGCTGAATATACACCAAATAGTACAAAACCTTTCAAACCATCCTATTTACACCTTGATGTCTGATGAAGCGCGCTCGACTTGCTCGGTCGAGCCGACACCTTTTTCGTGCAAGGGCGTGGGTGAGCCAGAGATGTCGTGCTCGCGACGCAGCTCTGCCATGACGACCTTGTTGGCACGCCAGACGTTGCGTTGAGCCCACAAGCTGTCCATAGCTTCGAGAGGAATGCCTATAAGAGCCATGTCAGCCGAGTATCATATGATGAAGGACAGATCAACTTACCCTTGGTCTCGGGCAACAAAAAGATGACAAACGGTACTGATGCGCACATCATGCTGGCAAAGAGCAAGTACTGCAATCACAGTCGTCAGCGACTGGTCCGGAAACAGCAGAAAGGCACAAGACTCACGACGCCATAACCACCTGCACCCATCGATGCGAACATGTACGGCGTCGCGCGCGCAATGCACAAGTTCCATGCCCAATTGCTGGTGGCTGCGCACATTTGCGTAACTTGGCGAACGGCGCCGGGGAAGACTTCCGAGCAAACGACCCATGGCGTGCCGTTCCAGGAGACGGCGTAAAAGATGGTCCACAAGTAAAAAAAGAACATGGCGGCGATACCTCCTGGAGGCAAATCGGTAGTCGGGTTGGCGGAAGGATTATCAATCTTGATGTAGGCGGCAATGGCAAACATTGACAGCGCGCCACCGACCGAGCCGAGCAGGAGAATGTTGACACGGCCCCATCGATCAATCACGAAGAAGCACCAAATGAGAGCACCTGCGGATTTTGTATTGTCAGTGCTGAAATCATGGCAGACCGGTCCTTTGCGCGACGGACCAACAGTTTTGATGACGCCAAATACGCCGGTCGTCAAAAGAGCCGTTGAAGTGCCGGTGACACCGATGGACTTGAAAATCGTCGGAGCGTAGTAATTAATCGCCTGCGAGATATCGTGTCTGATGAGCAGACTGCCAGTGCGGTCAGGGAGGAGAGCAAAGACTTACGTTGATACCTGTACCGTTCTGGAAGATGAAAAGCGAGGTGGCAATAAGGAGACGCTTGAGGAGGTACCATTGCCCAAATACTTGACGGAACGGGCCCCAGAAGCTTGTGCCAACGGCTGTGCGGTCATGTTCGACTTGCAGGTCGATCTGGTTCAGCTCTTCGATGACATAGTTGTCCTCGGGAGAGAGCTTGCGCAACCACGTCAGGTTCTTGATGGCATCCTCGCGACGGTTTCGAGTGATCAACCAGCGTGGCGATTCCTTGATGAAGAGCGGAATGCCGATCAGGAACAAGCCTCCGGGGATAAGTTGAACGGCGAAAGGCGTAAGCCATTGAACACGACCACTCAAATGCTGCTGCACCCCGTACGGGAGCCAGAACCCAATCAAACCACCGATCTGCCAACCTATCTCGTACATGCCGACGAGTTGACCGCGGATGGCGGGCGGCGCGATCTCGGAAATGTACAGTGGCGTCAGGTTGGAGGCGGCGCCGATTCCAAGACCGGCAATGACACGTCCAGCATAAATTGGACCAAGCCCGACGGTGCCGTTGCTCGCTAGCATGATAGCGGCGCCGATTTGAAAGACCAGAGCGCTGAGGAGCAAACCCCACTTGCGACCAAGTAGTTGTCCTGCAGGATAGCCGAGAACCGAGCCACCGACTGCGCCAGCTTGATAACATGAGACGATGTTCGCATTTATAGCTCGCAAATCAGCAGCGGATTTGAATTCCTCGGTCAATTTGAAGGCGGATTTGAAGCTTGCGAGGGCCATGGTCGAGCCACTGCGCGAGAAGGGTTAGTCCACGGTCTCCGCTGGAACATGTGCCAGGAGACATACATGAAAGCCGAGTCGTAGCCGATCATGATGGCTGCAGTCGCAGCAACGATCGCGCACGAGTCTGTATCACGTTACAGTCAGCCATCAGAGCGCTGGAAGCGGCGCGGAGTTAACGCACAGACGCGAAGATTATACACGGCCGAGGGCGTTGGCCGGTCAGGAACGGGTGTGAAGGACACCATAGTGGCAGTCTAGTGTGAGTTTACTCCGAATGTGGAGTCTCCAGAGAATGGAGCGAGGTGAGGAGAAGTAGACCCGTTGTCGGGCTGCCTGTTTTCTTGTCTGGCCAGATTGCTGGAAGAACATTTTTCTTCACACTTTTCGCCGACCGGGACCCCACGCACCCCAGACTGGGGCCGAGTCGACTGCGCGCCGTGAGAAAGGACGAATTCTCCGCCGGGCCGCCGTAAACGTTCACGCGAGAACGGCGGTCGGTGCTCTAAAAGTTGAGAGCATCGGAACCGGGCTTTGCAAACGGCAAACCGTCAATACGAGGTATTGTGGACACCTTGCCACGCACGCAGTCCTGCAAACTCCTTACCAATCAAACAGTCTCGACATGCCTTCGCTGGGCATTGCATCACTATCTTTAGGGTCATTTGAGCACCACTCGCTTCCAGACAAGCTGGCGGCTGCCGCCGCCGCCGGCTTCGATTCCATCGAGCTGTTTGACAACGACTGGTGGGATTTTCGCGACTCGTACGCCGCAGCACACGGCCTGCCAAACTGTCAGCGGGATGGAGATTCGGTATCTCGGTTCGCCGCCGCCGCATTAGGCGACTTGGTCAAGTCGTTCGGCCTCGAGATCAGCTGCTGGCAACCTTTGCGCGAATTTGAAGGATTCATTGACGAACACGACAGATGCAAGGCTCGCCATTTCGCAAAAGGTATCCTCGATATCATGCCGCTCCTCGGCACTTCACTGCTGCTGTGCTGTACAAATTCGGTGCCCGCGCCGCGAACGACAGGCGATCTCGAGGCTTGTGCTGCAGATCTTGCATGGCTCGCCGATGTGGCATCCGAGTATTCGCCGCCGATCCGGATCATGTACGAAGGTCTCTCGTTCGGCGCACACCGGAAAAGCTGGCAAGATGCCTGGCAAGTAGTTCATGCGGCAGACCGACCGAACCTAGGCCTGTGCCTCGACTCCTTCAACACCTTGGCCCTCGAATGGGCAGATCCTTATTCTCCTTCGGGTCGACTCGGCCCTGACGTCGACGAACGACTCGCTGCCAATATGAGTGAGCTGGTAGCGCGTGTACCGGGCGAAAAGATCTTTTTCTACCAAGTCGCCGACGGTCGCTTCATGTCGCCACCAATGTCGCCTCCGAAGGATCCAGCAGTGCCAAAAATCAGACCATGGTCGCGCAGCAGCAGGCTGTTCCCTCTCGAAAAGGAAAAAGGAGCGTACCTGCCAGTCGAGCAATTCTCAGACGCAGTTGTCAGGACTGGATACACCGGTCCATGGTCGATCGAAGTCTTCAACGACAGTCTCGCAGATCAAGACCCGTCGGTTCCCCAAACGCATGCTGAACGAGCAATCAAAGGCTTGTCTCAAGCGGTACTTGAGGCCTTTGAAAGATCGGGTAGCGCGTGTACGTTCCTTGATTGTCTGTCCGGGCTGCGATCCGGTCACTGACGATCTTATCTCCAGTGCCATCCGCGTCCGCTCAACCGAAACTGTAGAGGTAGTGTCGGGATTCGTTTGCCATTTGTTGTATCTTTCCTGCACGCATGATCAATCACAACATCTCATTTCTGCATTACCAATCTTTTTGCATGAATCGCTATGAGTGCGTACTCTCCTCCAACCACAATCGACACCTGAGAAGCGAGACCAGAAACGGCAGCAGGTCGGCTACCGACTCTGTGCTACTGTCAGCGACGACAGCGAGCGTGCTCGACGGCGGTGACGCGACTGTCGGCAAG